TGACTGTTACAAGTCCCTCAACTTAGGAAGAAAATGTTTCATTTCAGTCCTCTCTTTTACCTTTTCTCAGCTACCTCCACATCGTGCCTTATTGCATTTTTGCTCAAATAAAAAAAAACTGGCGTTAGTTACTAACCAGCTAAATAAACAACATTGAGCCCAATGATTGACTGTTACAACAAACATCTCGCTAAATACCTTTTATGTTATAGATTATTTCTTCTTATTCTGGGGTCAGTGACAATTCCAACGCAAACTGCCATTGATTAATACAAATTATACTGCAAGTTAAATCCATAGACTGTTTATAGATGGACCATGATAAACCCCTCGCTCATTGAAGCCCAATTAGGAAGTGCTCATGAACAAAGATTTGCTCCAGCTCGCTCTGGCTCCTATTCACTGGTCACAGAGGCCTTCATTTGCGGTGGAGTTTCCACCGCAATACATCTGCCCCTCTTATGGTGCAAAGCTAACCCACTAGAACAATTGCCCATACAAGCCTCCAGTTAGCTTATGTTAAAATCTGCTACTTCCACATTCTGCAAAAACTATGGGTGACGTCAGCACTCAGTCATGCCACTCCTATTATACGTCTACATCACTGCCTCATTATTACTCCGCCTGTGATTACCATTCCAAACACGGCTCGTTTGGAGCTCAAACTGGTAAGTTACTGTCACTTTGGAAGGTCTATCATCCATCAGCACAGAACTGTGCTCCATCATTATAGTAGCCTTCACTAGAGCTCAATCTCAAAGGCTTTATAGAAAAGGACGACCGGTAATGTTTTACCGTTGACCTGTTCCTCTCATTGTGCTTTTATGTCTGGATAAAAGCACAATGAGAGGAGCAGACAGAGAGACACACGACTGCTCTCTTCAAAAGCAGGAAGCACATCTATGTCTCACTGACTGCAGGAGAACATGGACCAGTGGACTCACTCCTTCACTGTATCCAACAGATCAGTGAGTGGATGCAAAATAACTTCCTTCAGCTAAACGCAGACAAAACTGAAATGATTGTTTTTGGTCCCCAGAAACAAAGAGAGAGCGTCATCTGTCATCTACAGTCTCTCTCCCTAAAACCTCAGAAATCTAGGGGTAATACTGGACTCAGACTTAAATTTTAATAGCCACATCAAATCAGTAACATCAGCAGCTTTTTACCATCTAAAAAACATTGCCAGGATTAAAAACATAGTGTCTAAAGCAGACCTGGAGATTCTTATCCATGCATTTGTCTCCAGTGGGTTAGACTACTGCAATGGCCTGCTCACAGGTCTGTCCAAACATTCAAAATGCAGCAGCTCGAGTCCTGACTAGAACCAGGATGTACAGTACGACCATATTAGTCCAGTCCTCAGGTCTCTGCACTGGCTTCCTGTGGCTCAGAGAATAGACTTTAAAACAGCTCTGCTTGTGTACAAGTCTCTCCATGGCCTCGCACCAAAATATATTAGTGACATGTTAGTCCCATATGAACCAGCCCGGACTCTGAGGAGCACCGGGACTGGACTCCTGTTAGTGCCCAGAGTCAGAACTAAACATGGGGAGGCTGCTTTTCAGATTCATCCTGCTAAAATCTGGAACAATCTTCCTGAAGATGTGAGACAGGCCTCCTCTCTGACAATGTTTAAAACCATGTTAAAAACAGTTCTGTTTAGCTGTGCATACAACTGAGGGATTTTATATTTTTGTCTTTCCTTTTAATGTTCTGTGATTATTTTTGATTTTAATGCTATTTTGTTCAGCACTTAGAGTTGCCTTGTGTATGAATTGTGCTATACAAATACACTTGCCTTGCCTTTTATTACAAGCTGCCAATTAGCACAACTGCTCCTAAAAACTTAAAAAATGTAATAATCGCACACATCAAGTGGATTCACGGAGATCTCAACACAATCCCACTGCTCCCACAAGAGAACAAACCATGGATGTATTATTTGTTTTGCCCATTGAGTTGAATGGGCAAAACATCTTGGGTGCTTGAGGCTTGGGGCAAACTTAGCGCTCTCAACAATCCGTACAATTACCTTCATTTTACCTGACCTCCTAATAAGATATGGTAATAGTTAATATGTGAACAATTCAAACAAACAAAAATACAAAAATAGTGTATTGGAGTTTATATTAGGGGGATAGAGTTCCCCCAACAGTGGCACGTTATCCTAGGGATGCCATAATATTGAGAGGTGGCTACTTTCTACAAAGTCAGACGTTTAATTTCACTCATTCCATTCTATTCTGTGCAGAACAGAAAATCTCAAAAAGTTCCTCCTGTTCTTTCTTGTACATAGGTACCATGTTCTTAGCATTATGCCTGCGGGTGGAGGAGATGGGACACGTCTGAATGAAAGGGTATACGCTCACATGCAATTATTCACTGTAAAATGAAAGCTAATGGGGGTTGATGCCGTGAAGGCAGGGATTACAGAAATCTCTGTAATTGAAAACAATTATTGTGCATTTTTGGACTTTGTAGGCGATAGTGAACATGTGTGAGTAATCCTTATTCTGCTGCATTCACAATGTCCTGTGTGTTTTTGGGTTTTAAATTAATTTGCAGTCTAAGTTTGCAGAAATAATTTAGTGCAAGTCTACTGTAATCATGGTTCTGGGACCAAGTGAGTGAAAAGAGTGAAAAGATTCTACTGGAGGCACTGATGGGAGCATCTAAAAGCACCAGATTTACAGATTTTCTCAAAGAAATGTGTTTGATGTGAAGCATTAAGAACTGGTAGAAGTAAATCCTCCTATATACCTATCATTGTACATAGTGATTATTACAGAAGTAAAAAGCAAAAAATAGATCTTGGTATTGTTCAAGCGCTGGCATCCAACAAATGTTCAAGGGCTTTGAGCACATGTGTCAAACATATGGCCTGTGGGCCAAATGTGGCCCTGAAAGGTCAGCAGCAGAGTTCAACTGTTGTCCGTGGGTTTTTAATTCATAATTACATTTCCAAATTATGAAATATTGATTGATAGATTGAGACAAAAGTATAATGAGCAAATTATCTCCTCGGAGCGTCTCAATTAGAAACATAACACAACAACTAAGAGGCGCTTAGTAAAACTATAGAGTTGGTGTCGGATTGGCCTTTCGTTCTCACGTAGACGGTGTTTCAGCGGGATGAAAACGGTAGCATTGAGAAACGGCCTCCAGAGTGGAACAGAACAGATACACTGTGTGGCTGTGTGAAGAAAAAGGTGTGAATTCTCTGCCTGCTATGACCTCACCAGTTTCCCGCACCTACCTCACTCCCATCTCTGGAGTTAGAAACAAAGACCCACAACAATTGTAAAGCGCTTTGTCTATGAAAGCGCTATATTCAGTACTTACTTATTTACTTTCATTTGGACATGAGCAGTAGCCGAAAACAAACATAGTCAGCAATGGTGGCGGATCAACAAATGTGTGTGCTTTGAGCGTTGTATTCTATTCTTTCGGCCTTCCAAACAAACCGCACAAAGCTGTAGTTACAGTTTCCATTTTCGCTGCTGCTGTTAAATGCAGAATGATGTTGGTGCATTATTTCCCGGCTTTAGGTTGGCCTGAAGAGGATGTTTTTGAGGAAGTGATTAAACTGGTGCGGGATGCAAAGTTACACTGCCCCCTACTGGCCGGGCGCTAGAACTACACCCTTTTCTGTTGCCGTGTAGACGCTTAGCACTTTGAATAAGGAAGCTGGTCTGGGCCAAAGTGTAAGACGCGGTTTGGGTCCAAGTTTCCCTTTTTATCCGTTGAAAATTTTTTTTGTTGTACTTTAAATACAAAAAATGCACATTAACATATGAATAGTATGATACATTGTAATGAGACTAAAAACCTTTTCAATGAGAGATTTTTGATAATTTTCCTCCTGATTTGGTCTTTACCTTTCGTACATACATAAGTATATTTCTGCAGCATATAATTGCACCACCATTGAAGACATGTCAGATGAGGACGAGTTATGGGAAAACACCTCCAGTGATGGTGGAAGACTTCAAGAATGATAATCAGTCAATTATAATTATATTGTGTAATTTTTGAAAAACACATGTTGTACAGTGCTTGTCTATGCAAAGCAATGGTTTTCTCTTTCCTCATTTTAGAGACTGTTTTGTAGATGCAGGTAGCTTTAGGATTTCATTGTCACTGTCTTTGAAGAGCTGCGGGTCACTATTTGAAACCACGTGTTTGTTACAGTATGCCTTACATCTCTTTTTAGACATTACACCACACATTTTTCTTTGAAGGCAACACTGAGGATTAACTCCACAACATGCCTCCAGTGACAACTTGACAAACCTACATCAACAATAAGATCTGACATACTGTGAGGCGACCACAAACTGCTGCAGAAACTACTATCTTATAGCATACTGATCTACTAATCACACAACTCCCTCGGATTATCACTCATTTATTGCAATTTAACCACAAGTCCCATTGTTCAACTAATACATTCTGAATGTTGTTATTGTTATTTTTTATAAGCCCATAAATTGGTAGCCAGCATATCAAAACATGGAATGGAAACGTTAGAGAGAAAAACATGGGAAAGTGCTCCCAAGTAAATAGCTACTATTATGCAGATAATGTCTCTTTAAGTACACAAACACATTTAAGTTTTGCCTCCAGCTGTTCCTTGTAACAAACCCAACCCCAAAATACAAAAATTGTGAAGGAATGCTAGAGCCCTAGGAGATGGGTGCCATTTCGATATGTGCCATTGTAACCTGATGAGCCCAAGGCTAAGCTTCAGTGGTTTCTGATGGGAAAGAGGAGAGATCAGTTCTCTGTGGTCTATAGTCGTGTTCCAACTCTAAATACATAATTATTTTCTTTTCCATAACAACTAGAAGCTACAATGAGTTACTGTAGGATAAATGTTCTCTCTGATCATAAGTGGAAGAATGTTGTATTTTAACAACCTTCTTACTGTTTTGGTAAATTTTCTTAGATAAAATAGAAACGTTTGCAAATATAGGTAATATAGGTTTTGTCCTTACTTTAGTGAAGGGTTCCTCTGTTGAAGACGAGTTCATGGAAATCATTTCAGTAAATGTCCAGTTCCACAAAGCTCCATGTCAAACATGTTTTTTTCCGAATCATATCCATATCGTGGAGTCTGCAGACTGCACTTGTTTGAAAGTAGTTCTCAAAGAAAGAAACATCCCAGAGGCCACAGACTGAGGTTCAGAGGGGGCAGGTCCTAGTGTCCACCCGCCTCCTGGAAAGCATACAATCATTCATAGATTACACAAATTCTTCTTTGAATGATGAACTTTTGATTTGTTCTGATTTTGATTGTCGACATTCCACGCACTTTCATTCTTTACAACACTGGAAAGGATTTATATTATGGGATTGTTCCCTGTGTGTAATCAATCACTCCAGTGGATTGTGTTTTGCATTTCAAACTAAATGATTTGACTGATGCAGGCTCCATTACGCTGTGGCCTTTTACCCTATTATAGGTATAGGTATAAAGTATATAGTCATTCAAAACAATGAAAAACATGCCTTTTTGCTTCTTTGACATTGCTCTAAGATATCGCAGGTGTTTGTATATTTCCCAGATGTGAAATTGTTCAACTATTTTTAAACTGACGCAACTGTCCACGCCATTACTTTACTTCGGATAGAGTTACAAATTCCTTTTGTTGCACAGACAGTGTATTGAGTGAAAGTCCTCAAATTTCAAATAGATCTTGATCTTGGCGGCAAAATTTTCTAAACGAACACAGGTGCAATCACCATGTGTTAAACGCATCATGTGTGTGAATACAGAAGCTACTTATTTATTTGAAACAGTACTATTTCCAGCTGTTCCATCTGGACCATAAAGAGAACATGACCCTGAAAACCTACTGTATTTCAGAAGAATTCTTATGTACTATTTACTTTTTTATGACTTTATCCCTGGAAATATGTTTAAATGATACTATGTAGCAGGAGTTGTTCTTGTTTTCCATTTGGATTTACAAGGTTTAAAACATCTGACGTGTTCCAGTAACAGAGCTTATACTTTATCTCAGCGCTAATGTAATTTGAGCATTCCAATGTGTTCTATAATGGGACACAGGCCATTATCACTTGCTTTTTGGGTGGATAAACTACTCTTGTGCAGACACTACTCAGACATGGAAAATTACAGGAAAGCATTATGTTGGAAACAGCTACAGTATGCGATAAAGCATTCATCTAACACATATTTTAATACATAGATAAATAATTAAATGAAAAAAGTAGATTAACCTAAAAAACGTTGAGTTAAATGTAGAAAATAGTGAGGAAAAAAGGGGTTTAAGTATATTATGCATGAATCCAATGGGTTGTAATGTTGCCTTGTGCTGGAGCTTCACATCTGGCGTTCATCAGCCACATCAGCCTGGACCAACCTCCAAACGACAGCTGACTTTGTTTCTGAGCAGGAAGTCAGTTCTTAATCTTTATTCTATGAAAACTTCAGGTCTGATTATCACAAAGACACAGCAGAGCAAGATGTAGTGCTCTTTGGTCAACAAGTGTTGAACTAAACTGTTCCTTTGGGAACTGCGGCTAAACAGTAAAATCTGCTCTTATGGAACTGATTTGTTACAAAAGTCAGCTGTCATCTCCAGCTCTATAAAACTGTGGAAGAGGTTACTGTACGGTGCACTTCATTTTAAATGTGTTAAGGCGCTTGTAGGCGAAGAACAGTGTAAGAGACGGATAGTTATGGGCCAAAAATGTCACAAGGATCAAAATCCAGAGCCATATTTTTTGAGCCATTTACTCGAAATAAATGAATCACCTGAACTGACAATGATCTAAATGATCCGCAGCCAATGTCAGGTCAAGCATGTGACCTTTGACCTTCTGTGGGCCCCGCCCAGATTTCTACCATGCTGATAGCCTTTCAGGAGGACAATGGTCTTGTTGTCTTTTTTGTTATAAAACATGTTACAATTCAAAACTTTTTCACATTTTAACCATGACGCGTGGTCTTGTATTGTGCTGAGAAAGGCCATGTTTTAGTGCAACACCTGCTGCATCAATACATGTGAGAGAACGTCCTTCTGTGTGAATGCTGTTGCACTGATTGTCTGCACATCTGTGTTTACTCGTAGGATGATGATCAGGGGATCCTCTCCTCCTTTGTTTACTTTGGTCTTATGCATGCTCAGTGGGTGCTTGCGATTATTAAAAAGGCTTTTCTGTCACAAGACCAAATATTCACATAATGGCTCTTGTTTTCTGTTTTTAAAGCTAATCAGTCTTTGAAATCATTTTGTATGTTTTTGTTTTCTTCCATTCAACATTTTCATGTCTTTTCTTGGTGCTTAACCTCAAGAGGATTGTCCTCTCACCATTATTAATATTGAAAAAGAATAGATAAAAATCTTAGGTCTTGCATCAGTGAACTTAATGTCAGGAGATGTACGTCAAAGCCCCGTGTTTTACAATAGTTTCTTGTTGGGCATGCTCTGTCTCTTGGTTCCACAGTTTGGCTCTGTTCCCATCACTGATGCCCTGCGGCATAAATTGCTTGTTGGCAGTTTAAGCCTCACAGAATGTATAGTGAAGAGCGAATAATGTGCTTTGACACATGGCAGCGTAATGTCACCACCAGCAAGAATGTCTTGTATGTCGATGAGCGGAAATCCATTACTTATTATTATTAACTTATTATTACTATTAACTGTGAGATGACTACAAAATTTCTTTTATCTGGAGAAGGCATTTATAAATTTACCCTTTGATTGGTTTTCCTCATATAGAGGTTGTTGAAATGGAGTCCTCTCTTTGTTCAGTACCTGTCCAGGACTCATCGCTTCAGAGTTGTGCCGCTGTAATCAAATCTGGCTCAGACGGGACAGACTAGTCCAGAGGCTAAATAGGTTTGGCCCCTGGGGCGAATGTCTATTATGCTGTTACTCTGACAGGACGGGACCCCTGCACAAAAAGGCACACAGAGGATCAGGTGACTGCAAACTTTGATCAAACTACAACAAACTGCAGGGCATAAACTGAAGCATCTCTGCATTACAACTTTAAAAACCATCACCAAACAAAGAAACAACAAAGAATTTTAATTGATGATTTTATTGCTAACTACAACATTGTGAAATTGATCTCTGTATGCGAGTCATGCAAATATATATGTTTCACACACAATTCATATTTATATTCAAACTGAATCCTCGGATACGCTCAATGTAATGTTCACATGAAATTTAGAAAAATCTGGACACCAGATGTGTTTAGAATATCAGCATATTCCCAACACAATTCCCAACCCAGCTGCTGAAGTTTAACAAGTGCTGTTGATTTATGAATAGTTTTATTCAATGATATTTGGAAATGATATTGATAAACATGGAAGTGATATCAGCCTGAGTTTTACCTTCAGGACAAGAACACAGAGCCTTCTCAGTTTCTTCCAACAATGATCATCTGAGACGAAAGACACTGGATCTATGAAATACCTGGGTCAGACAATTACATGCTGTTGTTTAATTTGTTTCTATTTACCAATATGTTTCTTTTCTCTGCTTAAAATAGAACACAGTGGCTCTCAGCACCTCAGTTCAGCGTCAGTGATATGAAAATGGGCAGTCATTTTTATTCACATGTGCTGCCCCCTTGTGGCTGAGTGAATTAGACCACAAGATGATTTCCCAATTGTAAAAGAAAATCAATCAGTGGATTTTATGAAATATATTTATCATATTTTAGCTTTGTATTTTGAGGATAAACAGGTTGAATAAATTACATAACAATACAACACTCTTTCTTCCGTGGCTGTGTAACATCCTGTTTTGAAGGCAGCATCCTCAGAGGAGCAGCGACATGGTAGGTATGCCTGGCCCAACCTCTCATTAGAAGAAGCAGCAAATGAATCCTCTCAGGGATCTTCCAGCTACACCACGCCAACAACAACAGATGCACATGCCTGCTGCTGGAAAACTTCTGATTGGTGAATTAAGCTCTCTTTGTAACTGCTCTCACCAGGCGAAATGTCAGCAGTGGCAACATGGCATGCAAAATAAAGCCTGGAGCCACCAGTGACATCACATTTGACAAGAGTGGTTCCTTTGTATTGAGATGGGGACAGGGAATAGCAGGGTATAGAACATTACAGCTGATGTGACTGTTGGACTGAGGAGATTTAAGAGGCAGTGCGTCTATGTGCATGTTCAGGCAGTAGTAGTTGTGCATACAGTAGTAAGGATGACTATATATAGACAGAACCGATAATATTTATTGGTCCTCGTTCTGTAGTCCTGGAGTTTGTCTGTCTATGGGAGCGGATCCCTGCCTTAATGTTTCTCACTTTTTCCCAAAAAGCCTTGTACGGTAGGGGTGTTGAACTAATTTTAATCAGGGACTGAGCAACAAAACAATAGTTATGTTGGAGGACTTTACAAAAAACGGTCAAATTCGCCATTACAGATCAGAGAACTAAAACAAGTGCAAACACTATAAATGCACTGATAAAAACACATGCCATTGGTCCATAGGGAGCAGATAACAAATGTCCATAAATGTTGTTAAATGTGGAGTGTCCTGGATCCTCACTGTCCTTAGATCCTCCTACATCGGCAAGGACCAACTCTAATTAAAAGAAAATATATGTATTTCAAAAATAGACATTATGCTCAATGATATTAATATCTAAAAGTGTCTGTTTCCCATGTGAGACCATTTCACAACTGCAGGATAATGAATGAATCTGTTTGTGTCCCCTGAGTGCCAAGTTGGCTTGGCAGTGTGCTCTTGCATCAGGTGCAGTAAACAACCTAGCGCTTCCTACATTACCAACATTTGTTTGATGTCTGTCTTGCCCATTGCAAAGGCACACTGATAAGGACCGTTAGAGTGACATAGAGAGTAATATGAATTGAAACCGGCGCACCGATCTCTCCATATTAATGTTTAGGTCAAGACCCAGTCAGATCATTCTTCTTCCCCATCCCTGCTCTTGTCATAGATCACCTGAAGCACAGTATGAGTCTGGCTTTCTCCTTATTGGTCAGAATATTTATATCTACGTCCCATCTGTGCTCAA